AATCTTTTTTTATATACTTTATATAAAGAAAGACATTTTATTTAATATTGTGTGATATTCATTTTGCTATAAGTATTTTCATAAACATTTATTATAGATATTTGACAGTTTTTCTTCAAATCAGTGTGTGAGTGTTGGTATATTTTCATGGCACACATAAGAATAGTTCGAATTTTAGTACTTTGACACATTTCTAGATTTATTTTTTCTTGGAATATTTCGTAAATTGTGTGATAGTGGGGTGAAGTTCTATTGCGCTAAAGTTTTTTTTATATCAAAGAGAGACTGAATCTATTTGTAAAATTATAAAATGTATAAATATATATTGATTTTAAAAGTACCAGCCTTTTACATAAAAATCTTTTACTCTCTAAATATATTGTAATATACTATGGTATTTATAAAAATACCAATAAAATTTAATGCCTTTTCATTCTTTTATCTTTTCATTCAAATGATTTAATGAGTGGACGCCACAAGAGATTATAAATCTTAGTTATGACGGCTTGCATAATTCTTTGTGCAACTGGAAGAGTTTCACGACCTGAGACCGCAATGTTTTTGTGAATACTGTGGGAGTTGTGTAAGAGATCTGGCTAGATGCCACATAGTCATTTTTTTCTGGAATTCTTTAAATTGTTTAATGAGGTCTTTGTACAGACATGTGTTAGAAAATTTATTTGTATTATTCATTCGAAAATTTTTTTAATTATCCCATTGCATAGTTATACAAGGTCATGGAGACAGAATTCATGGATTAAATTTATAATCTTAGTAAAATTGGAAGATAGGTCTTGTCTTTAGGCTCCCATATATCCAAGAGGTGGTCTGGTGAGGCCTCTTTGGACCTGCAAATGGTGCACTGTGGGAATATCTTGTGACACCTTCCTGGAAAAAGATTCGAAATAGTAAATTAATCGAAGAATGCAATAAAAATATATATATACTAGAATGAAACCTCTGTTGAAGAACAACCCAGAGTTTTATTAGCGTTATTTAATTTTTGAAAGAATTAAAAATAGAGGTGAGGCATATATAGCAATCACACAGGTGTCATCACCTCGGTAACAATATTTTTAGGCGATGTTTTATATAATCGTCGAAATATCGTTGGAAAGGTTCACCACTGATGAGCCAGGCCCTCCCAATATATTTCCATTGCAGTAAAGTGGCAGTAAAATTTGTTTTATTTGTGAAAAAGAAAGAAATATTCAGGCGCTGTAAAGTTCAAATTTACGCATACAGATGGCGCACTATTTTCTTATAACTAATATACGCATAACCAACTTATTTAATAATTATATGCGAAAGAGCATTGCTCGAGACATGAATACACGTATTTATATATATTCCTACCGTTCTTCATAGTTGCATTGAATACCTTTACTAAAAATATCTCTAGATTGCCGGATACACAAGCAGAATAACCGAAAACAGATGGCTCCCCTATTTCCTTGTATTTAATTAATGCCGCACTCAAGAATTGTTTGCGGAGTGCATTGATCTATGCAATCACACAATTGTATATACACTCATGGACAACACTTAAGGAAGATATGGGGATTAAGGAAGATGCCTTCTAGCAAGTATTTACCAACCAACGGCAGCAGTACCAAAACCTATCATGGAGACCCTTCAAACGAAAGCGCAACTTGTATCACAACTCACAACTAATCTTAAACAAGATACATGTAAAAGGTTATCATGACATTGTATAATCACAGGATAATAAAAAAGCATGTATATCGGTGGTCAGATAATGAAAGATATTTGATTCACAGTTTTATTTTTATTGAAGACAAACAAGATAACTAAGTGTGAACAAAATTGCCTCTGTCTCTTTAAAAAAAAAGACGACTGGCGACAGTAAAGCACTTCCTCAAGTTTTGTCCAATATGTGTATGTATATTTATACTATCCTCAAAGATTATGTGCATAGATTCATTTATAGACGCGTATGATTCTTTTAAAAAATAAACAATTTCTACTGCACTTACTGCAATGTAATTATTAATATCATAGTTCTTCTAAAATCCAAGAGTCTAGCATCAGTATCACTATAAAAGGAAAAACGAAAAATGTAATATAACAGCGTTATGGTTGATCAAACTGGAGAAACCGCTGGGAGCGTTCACCACTGATGAGCCAGGCCCTCCCATTAATTTTTCCATTGCAGTAAGGATTGTAGAAATTGTTTAATTTGTAAAAGAATCATACGCGTCTATAATAGTTTCGAATTTTCACAACAGATGGCGCGCTAATACATCCTAAATAGCTTCATTTAATACTTTAACTAAGAATATCTCTACAGTGCCTGATATACATATAAGCATAGAATATAATCCAATACAATATTTGAACCAAGGCTGTTAAGAATACCAAGCTATTTAGGCTACCGTCACACAACGTTTGATTAATACTGTAATGAGCCAACATTTCCCATCGCAAATATAAGAGATAACAATGAGATTTGTTTTATTTCCATAAGAATCTAAAGTATAACACCTGAATTGTGTCAATTTTATAATTAAAAGTTGTAATTTTATTAGTTTTCCCTTAAATATCACCCAAAAATCAATTCAATCCTGAAGTGCTTGCTATAGGAATAGAAAAAAGGTAGAATACATAGATGATTTGATTTGTGTTCGTATGAAACTTATTCAGCCAACAGAAATAACCCCATTTTATTTCTCCACTTTTACTTTAAATAATATTTCCGAAGCAAATATCAAACGAACAAAAACGATCCCATTTTATCTCTGCACTTTTACTTCAAATCCACGAGAGAGAGAACAATAATTCCGCTTCCAATGGGAGACCACCTCAAGGAACACTAGCTTCAAATCTATAATTATAACCACATCTCATAGGAGCTTCCACTGTCCACATTTAGTACAAGGAAAAAAAAACTCAATTTGTAATCCCCTGGATATACCCAGTCGTTGGTCGTTGGAAAGTCCCCTATTCCTATGTTTATATCCATACTTTACAGTCTCTTCTTTCTTATCTCCACTCAATCATATTAGGATATCAAGCTTGAATAGCTTGTTGATGATGTCTGCTACGGATGAATAGAACTCATCAATGGATGAGTCAATACAGTGAATAATGATTTTGGGGGTTGCAGGTTGATAAAAAAAGTATTTTAAAGGCATTTTATTTGCCTTTTTTCGTATATAATGTGTCTCATCTGTTAGCATTAGTTCAGGAATTGTGGAAGGATACATAAGAAGAAGAATACCAAGAAAAATATGATCTAATGACCTCAAGAACTGGAGTAAGCTACATGCTACTAAATAGCAACTCCATAACTGTCAACCTTTGGTTTGGGAGATGTCACATGACGACAAGCAAATCAAGTTGTTTAATCCAGAACGAAAGTAAGTATTATAGTGAAAGTAAAAAGTATCATTATAAGGAGAGATAGTAAACCTTTCACATTATCCACACACATATATTAAAATTAACACAAAGCAATAACGCGCCATCTATACATATAAAATAAAATGATTTAAAAGCGCGAATGTTTCTTTTATGCATAAAACGAACTTCTACTGTGCCTTAATGCGATGAAAAAATATATTGTGAGGGCTTGGCTCATCAGTGGTGAACCCTCCCAGCGGTTTCGCCAATTTAATCCACCAGACCGCTTCTCAGAGCTCTAATACTGTATTGGATCATTCTGCTTTTATATGCTACGCAGAATGATCCAATACAGTATTAGAGCTCTGAGAAGCGGTCTGGTGGATTAAATTGGCGAAACCGCTGGGAGGGTTCACTACTGATGAGCCAAGCCCTCACAATATATTTTTTCATCGCAGTAAGGACAGTAGAAGTTCGTTTTATGCATAAAAGAAACATTCGCGCTTTTAAATCATTTTATTTTATATATATATTAAAATTGTTATGCTTTTTATTTTTTCTTAATCTCCTTCAGCAAAAATAGAATTTAACAAACCATATAAATATTGAAATCAATATTATATATTTGTTTTATGTGTTTCTTATATATAAAGAAATATAGTAAAAGTTATAAACTAAAATAGAATAATTTAATAAATAAAAACTGTAAATATGTAATTATGGACCCTATGAATTGATACCTGATTATATTCTCTCTAGTTTTAATGGTCGATGCAACTTGTAAAGTCTTTTGCTTGAATACTCACCCGTTATATGGCACAATGGAAGAATAAATAAATGCTAAAGCTTTTTAGAGATGAGTTTCTTTATCTTTATTAAACGTAATATAAAGTTTTTGGGCATCTCTGTCCTTCTACAGAAGTACTTAGAAACATATAAACGCCGTTAAGATTCGATGAAATAGCCATACTATTCAAAAGTTTGGAGTATCGTCCTATAGATAAACCTGATCCTATAAAATCATAAGCGAAATAGAAGTAACCATCTAAAGACTAGAATCTTATCAGTGTTTATGTTTCTATGTACTCCTGTAGAAGAGCAGATATTCCTGAAATCTCGAAATCACGTTTAATAAAGAGATAAAGAAACTCATATCCAGAAACCGGTAGAATTTGTTTAATTTAATATCAAGGAGATTTGAATCAATTGTCAATGTAATATTGGCGGTGTTTGTGGACATTTCATATAATGAAAGTAGTTGATGGTATCCTTCTGGAAGCGACTGTATTACCTGGATTGTCCAAGCGGCGATGAAGTGTGTAGGGGGGAGCTGACGTCAGCGACAGTCAGTCGCTCGGAGCGGTATGTGGAGGGAAGCTGTGTGGAGTCTAGTGGTCGAGGTGGTGGGGGCCGTGAGGGTCGCCGTGCTGCTGCCCTTCTCTCTACTCAGGTAGGTCGGTCAGCGCCGGTCGTTGGCAGTCGTTGGAAAACGACATTTGAAAACTATCCCGCATGTGTTTCTTTTGAACGAAAAATCCTTATTTATTGTTAAGGAGAAATAACGATTATTTCTAACCTTAGGGATGAAGTATGAAAGGATGAATTGTGAAGAGTAATGATAAATGGAAAAATAAAAGTGTCCAAGATGGGAATCGAACCCACAGTGTTCCGCTTACCGGGCAGATGCCATGTCCACTAGGCTACCCTGGACATACCCAGTCGTTGGTCGTTGGAAAGTCTCCTATTCCTATGTTTATATCCATTTATTTACAGTCTCTTCTTCTTCTTTCTTATTCAAGCTTTGTTCAAGCTTTGTAAAGCTTGAGACTTTTGATGGTGTTTGCTGGGGATGAGTAGAGCTCATCAATGGATGAATCAATACAGTCAATAATGTGTTTCGGAGTTGCAGGTTGAGAATTGCACTTAATACATAATGGGTAACCTTGCAACCATTCTGGAAAGTCCGTAGATGACCAGACTTAAGTCTGTAAATCCAGGACTGTTGTTCTCTTGGGAAAAAAGAACCGGTGCTTGTCCCTCCTGCTCTGTCCCAGTCATGTGCAGCACCCAGACATGATATTTTTTTACTTATCTATTTCAATGTACCTGCTGATAAAAATTTCTACGAAGAGTTAGGTTTAAAAGCGCGCGCAAGCGCTTCTTTTCAATAATTAGAAATAAGTTAAGATAATGTGGTTAACAATGAATATGATTTTAGTGCGATTTTTTATTCTCACATATATATATACCAAATAAAAGTCTTGTCTATCGGTTTTGTTTCTCCTTTCTTTAATGTTTACATTTTTCGTTTACCTTTTGCTTGACTGTCTACACTTCAAGTTCTTATGTTTGTATTCAAACTTATATCCAGGTATTGTTTCATTCTTTTCTCGTGGTTTCACGCCATTCCAGGTTCGTCGATGATCACATTATTGAAGGCGACAGTAATGTAGCGTAAAGGGTAGTCATGGTCGCCGAGCTGAGAGTACACACTGCTGCTAACGTCGTTCAGTCATTTTTGACTTTTATTACTGCAGGCAACATGTCGGTCCTCTCGAATGTTAGTGATAGCGATCCGCTGAGATCCTGTACGTTCATTTCGTATTCTGCTAACAGTCATCGGATCTCGACCGACTCGAGCAGCAATACAGCGATACGATAAACCGTAATCTCAGTAGACTAGACTAATCGATCTCTATCAAACTCAGAAACGTGTTGGCAAGCATTTCTACTTCTTACACGAGGCATCACGACAATTTTTCACAACGAAGCAAGGTTTCAAATTCAATTTATATGAGAAACCGGGGGTAAATTTCTTTTAAAAAATATATTGCAGTCGTCAAGATACAGGGGTATACTTTGCATGAATGCGATGAAAAATCTAATCATTGCATAGCATCTTTTTTTCCATTGAGTAAATTTACGTCTATAAGCGTGTCGTCTTCTTGGTGTAACAATCTTAATGGCCAGTAGCGTAGATATGACAGCACACACTAAAGATGAAACTACACAGTGGGGCTACTTAATATAAAAATCGAGACAATCTGTGAATTCAGTTCCAGCATTTGCGCTCATATCTACACTAACGGATAAAAATTAAGGAAGTTAAAAATCTTTGATGTCGCCAGTCATCTGTTTTTTTTTTTAAAAGAATCCAGAGTTAATTTTGTTCACACTTGATTATCTCGTGTCTTCAATAAAGATCACCGTGTATCAAATATCTTTCATACTTATTGTCTGAATTCCGATATATATGCTGAAAGGTACAAATTCCTTAAAAGTTTTACAAGAATATAAGACCAAATAAATTAATAGTGTGTGACGTTTCGGTAACAACGCTGCTATCGAAACGTCACACACTATTAATTTATTTTGTCTTATATTATTGTAGTATTATAATCCAAATTGTGCTTTATAATTCCTTAAGTTTTATCCATGAGTTTATATACTGATAGAGTGCATTGATCCCTTCATCACTCCATATAAGGGATTGGTAGAGATGAAATTGTCGATCCTCGACAACCCCGACTTTGAATCGAACCCTGCAACGATTTCTTCTAAAAGTAAAATGCTTCCATGATCTCGATTATTACTTAAGTCCAACCCCACAAGTGAATGCATGTAACTCGGTAGTGTTCTGCCACATACACTTACAGTGTAAGTGGTGTTTCTAACACCTACAAGCGTGAAGTTTTTGGATATTTGCTCTTCGTTCCAATCTGGCCAAGCATTAGAATAGAGAATATATTCAAACAAATGATAAGAAACGAGAGAACGTTCTGGACAAGAAGTGAAATATGCTGAGGAACTATCACAAAAGAATCATTCAAGTTTTTCAAATACTGATGCATGTCTTTTGACCCAGAAAAGAGAAACAACGTGGGAGATAGTAAGATTGCAATGGAGAGTTTGGCGATTTTCAAAAGTAATGCCATGTGAATGTATGTAACTCGGTAGTGGCACATACACTTACAGTATAAGTGGTGTTTCCAGCACCTACCTCTACAATTATCATGGCCTGTACCATTGTGTACTTGGGATAAGCAAAAAATCAACTAATATGAGGTCAGCTACGAAAGCTTCCTCAATTTACTTCCTTTGTAGACCTCGTCGCTGGAACCATTTTATGTAGGTTAGGAAATAATTTAAAATATTTTATAGTGCAACTACATATGTAATTTAGATCACCTCACACATGGTATACAATCCTATACATATTTAATATGTGAGAAATAGTTACCCAAAATTATTTGTAAAAGTAAAAATATCAAGTAAAACGTTTCTTTTAATTTAAATTTGTGAGCTTTCGAGCAAATATACTGCTCTTCAACGGGCTGATATTCTATGTACAAACTCTAAATAATATATATACAGAATAGTTGAAAACTTTTGTTATTAACATGTGCTCTCGCGGGCGTGCATCAGACTGTTACCAGTTAAAGTAATAGATATTATACTGGGATTAAATATATATATATACATTCCGATAATTATTAATATTTAGATTATTTTTCAAGGATATTGTTATATTGGGTTGAGAGGTTAATTTTTCTATTGATGCTATTTATTTTTGATGATACCAGTGCTTCCCGGAATAATCTTTGTTGCTTTCTTTCTATGTCTTGATAATGGGCTATTACTTGTTTGAGATTAAATGTGTGTCCAGTGGTGCTGGTGTGTTGATATATTGAGGATCTATTGTCTTTGTATCTTATGTTTCTCTCGTGTTATTTTAGTCTGGTCTCTATTGTCCTACTGGTTTCTCCTACATATGTGGCATTACATTGGTTACATTTGACAGAGTATATTGCATTAGATTTAGATAGGGGATTGGAACTAATATTTTTGGTAATTGGGTTTCTCAGCAAAGAACCGAGATTGGGTAACTGAGATACTTAAGTAATCTGTCTGTTTTGTTTCAAAACTCCTATAGTGCCTCCGAACTATATTTAGGAGAACTAGATTTCTGCTAACAAGGAAATTTTGTAGTATATTTTGTTATAATCATATTTTTGCTTATCCTAGTACACGTGGTACAGTCCATGATAATCATGGTGGGTAGAAATAAGCGACTGCTTTTACTGTAAGTGTATCACATGTCTACACATGTAAAAAGAAGTTCGACGTTGCACTTTCAAATGTGGTAGAACCCCGTTTGGTTACTTGCACTCGCTGGTGGGGATAAATCATAGTTATAATCAATAGTTAATATATACCTCTGATATATTATCTGAAGCACGAAAAAAGGTTCATCTATATATCACACATATTACCCTATTATATATATTCATGGTTTTGTTTATTTTATACTTATTTAACAATTGGTTAAGTGTCAAAAAGGTATTTTAAATTGTATTGTAAAACGCACAAGCTTTTTATTATCAGATAAAGTTTTAAGTTTATTTTAAATTAAAAAAACTATAAAAATTCGTGTTCAAAAAAGCTCATTGTTTAGACATACACATATTCACATATGAAAAAAAAAACAATAAAAAAAGAGAAAATAAAAAGGTCAGGTGTTGATATTAAAAATAAAGAAAGTATATCCTGTCCAAAAGCACATGTGCTTTTTAAATGGCAGAGCGCCATCTAGTGGAACAGAATGGGGGTGGCCAAATATTAGGGAACAGGTTAAATCAATGTTTAGTTGATTTCTGTTCCACCAGATGGCGCTCTGCCATCTAAAAATCACATTTGCTTTTGGTCAAAATATGCCTTCTTTATTTTTAATGTTGACATATGTGTGTGGTATCACTAAATTGATGTAAATACTCTAGAATTTATCCGTCATATATATATGTGAAAACTAGTAATGGAATAAAGTCCTAATGGCAATTCTATGTTTCACACACATAGCATTGAATTCTTTTTGTTATTTTTTCTGTTATAGAGACTGAGGTGGTATAACTATACGTGTGACATCATACTTAAATACCTTTAAGTTATAGAATTTGTAGCGCCCATACAAATGTATTATGTACAAAAATCAAAATGTACACTACTACATGTAGTGAAATATAGAAATGTAAGGTTGTAGAGCCAGGATGGAATTGTTCTGTAGAAAGTCCCTATAAGAAATAAATGACGTGTGATGTTAGCCGGCTAGAGTTATTATGTACACATTAGGTACACAGTCACAATTCCACACTACACTATAAAAATATGCACATTAGATCTCCAATGAGAGATCACCCAAACCAGATCAGAAATGAACACGTCAATTTTAATTATATTGTTGCGCTGGTGACCTGATGTACTGGGACAAAACATCCGAGAAGCCTTTTCAACGTTTATTCACAGACTAATAGAAAGAGCACCTTCTAACTAAATATTATTGTCTTAAATAATCTTCAAGAACAAAAGGTATGCAAATTCAACGATAGGAAAGCATGGGAAATATTTATACAAAACAAAATTATGTAAAAAATTATACATGAGAGTTAATAAAAATAAATAAGTTGTAAAAAGTAACCGTTAAGTCCACGAGAAAAGAAGTAGCCAAAACAAGTAGGTTTAGAACAGTGGCACGTGAGCAACGGCCTCCTGCCGCGTGCCTCTCTCCTAACAATATAAGAATTGCCGCAATGTATTCTCATGGCAAGGATTCCCATATCTTTAGATATATTGTCATTTTCTATTAATATTTATACGGCATAAGAAGAATAACTCTTGTACTATAAGTCACTGACTGATACCTAAGGCATGTGGTGA